GAGGAGAAGGGATTGCGGCGTGACCATCCCCCCTGGGGGGTGATTTCTCGCTTTCTGTTGCTATGGCTCTCTCTGTCTGTCTGGCGAGCGCACGCGCCCTACAGTGAAAATCTCTCAAAAAAAAACAAAAACAACAACAACAAAAAAAAACTAAAAAGAAAATAAATACTGAAATGGATGCATACATGCTGGTAAATCACTGCTGTCCTGAAACCGGTGGCATCCTGTTACCTCCCCAGACCTTCCCTCCATTAATTAATTAAAGGGTTCAAGGAAGGCAGAGAAGGGACTCCAGAAACCACACCCCCCCGTGCTACTGCCCATTCTGATTGGTCTGGGAAACCCCGCCCTGTGATTCTGCCATTTTGATTGGCCTGTGAAACCCCACCCCAGTACTGCTATTGTTCTGATTGGGTATTTTGTGTCCTTACTGTTAGTGGTTAGTGCCCAGTAGAAATACGAATGGCAGAAAAATTAGGCAAGTCTGGAGGCCGGCAGGTGGTGTGGCGGGTAAGGGCGTTGGACTCCTACATGATCACAGCAGTTTGAGTCCTGGACCCGGTGGGTTGCCTTCTCAGTCCTTCTTCTTCATCCTCCACCCCCGCCCCCTGTCAAATTAAAATAAAGTTAAATAAAATACTACTTAAAAAACAAAAAAGTAGGCAAGTCCGAAATCTTGGGCTACGTTTCTGCCTGTCTGCTCCCCTTGGGGGGGCGAGACAGGTGCCTATTGCAGTGGCCTGGCCTGGAGTCACGTGTCTCTTCTCCCCAGGGACGACCTGACGCAGCTGCCGTTCACCACCATGTGTATAAAGGAGAGCCTGCGCCAGTTCCCCCCTGTGACTCTTGTCTCGCGACGGTGCACGGAGGACGTGAAGCTCCCAGACGGGCGGATCATACCCAAAGGTACTCTCTGAGTGGCCCTCGGAAGACGCTGCCGGCCCATGAATGTCCATGGGGCAGCTCTCAGGGGGAGCTCTGGGGTTGCTCTGGGGGTGAAGGGGGGAAACAGTTGTATTTTAGGGGAGACAGAACTGGGTCACTGCAGGTGGAAAGGAAGGAGTCCCCTTGGTAGGGTTGGCTTTGGTGAGTACAGGTGGAGAGGGTGATTTTCTTTTCTCTTTTCTTTTCTTTTCTTTTCTTTTCTTTTCTTTTCTTTTCTTTCTCTTCTTTTCTTTTTTCTTTTCCTTTTCTTCTTCTCTTCTCTTCTCTTTTCTTCTTTTCTTCTCTTCCCTTCTCTTTTCTTTTCTTTTCTTTTCTTTTCTTTTCTTTCTTTCTTTCTTTCTTTCTTTCTTTCTTTCTTTCTTTCTTTCTTTCTCTTTCTTTCTTTCTTTCTTTCTTTCTTTCTTTCTTTCTTTCTTTCTTTCTTTCTTTCTTTTTCTTCTCTCTCTCTCTCTCTTTCTTTCTTTCTTTTTTACTTTTCTAGTTATTTACTTACTTTTTTAGGGATTTTTCTGTATAGGGTGCACACACATGCTAGAGAGACAGAGAGAGACAGAAAGGAAGAAGTCACTCCCCAGGGGGGGATGGCCATGTTGCAGTCTCTTCTTCTCCAATCTCCTTTGAGGATTTTGGGCACACACGCACACGTGTCTGATGTGAGTTTCAAGCCAGCAGGTCCAGGACTCCTACCACAGTCGACCATGTGGAAGTCCAGTGCCCTAACCACTGTGCCACCTGCTGGCCCCTCTGTTTATTTTCATTTGCTAGAGTGTGCATCACGCATGAGAGAGAGAAAGAGAGAGAGAGAGAGAGAGGAAAAATGAGAAAGAACCCCCATGGGGCATGGCCATGCTGCAATCCCATCTCCATTTCCTCTTGGGGTTTTGGACTTGCTTGCACAAGCTACTGGGTCCAGGATTCAAACTCCACAGTTGGCCATGTGAGATCCAGTTGCCTTAACTACCATGCCACCAGCTGGCCCAGGAGGGTCCGTTTTATTCATTGCCAGGTATCCCCTGGAAACCCAAGTTCTGTTCTGGGTGATGATGCTGGGGCATCTAGAGAGGTTCATCCCCAGGTCCAGGCCTTGAGTTGAGTATCATCCAATCTTGGGGATGATACAGCAGACATTCTCAGCTGCATTGGGTCACGACCGGGCTAAAGGGAGAGACAAGGGCTGGAGCAGTCCAAATATGAAAGATGGTCTATCTGGGGGAGACTGCCTGGAGGGCTGCCTGGAGGAGGGGATGTGAGAGTTGGGCCTTGGAGATTGGAAGCAAAATAGCAAAGCATGTTTATGGAATAGAATCTCAGGATGCAGATTGTGAAAGGTCTTGAATGCCAGGCAGAGGCATTTGAACTCAATTCTGAGGGCAGTAGGGAGTCATGGCAGGTGTTTGAGCAGAGGAGGAACAATGTCAAATCTGTATGTAAGATCCCTGTGTGACCAGTATACCAATCAGAAAGAAGATGACAGAGATCTCTTAGGGAGAGGCAGAGGGAGTAGATAGGGCAGAAGATTTTTGTTTGTTTTTGAGAGATTTTTGCTTTAGGGTGCATACACTTCGCAGAGAGACAGAAAGCAAGAAATCACCCCCCTGTGGGGGATGACCGTGCCATAATCCCTTCTCTTCCATTCTCTTCTTGGGATTTTGGGCACACATGCACATACTCCCACTACAAGTCTCAAGCTGCCAGGTCTGGGCAACCAGCAGCTGGCGTAATGGCTATGCTACTGGACTACCATGTAGTCAGTCGACCGTGGTTCGAGTCCCGGACCTGGTGGCTTAAATTCACGCCAGGTGCGTGTGCATGCGTGCCCAAGATCCTGAGAGGAGAATGGAGGAGAAGGGATTGCGACATTGCCGTCCCCCCGGGGGGTGATTTCTCACTTTCTGTCTCTCTGTCTCTCTCTCTGTCTTTCTGGTGAGTGCACGCACCCTATAGCAAAAACCTCTCCAAAAAAAGAAAGAAAAAAAACCACCCTGCCAGGTCTGGGACTAGAACCATGGTCAGCCTTGTGGGAGTCTGGTGACACAACCATTATGCCATCTGCTGGTCCCAGTTTCTCTTGGCACACTGAGCCCATTTCTCTCCACAGGAATCATCTGCCTGGTTAGCATCTATGGGACCCACTACAACCCCACAGTGTGGCCTGATTCCAAGGTGAGTCCTACCCTAATCTCCTGCGTCTGGCTCCTTCCTCCCCAGAAGAGGCAGCCCCAGAACTGCAGAATCTTCCCTCTCTCCTCCACCTTCCAGGGGGCCAGACAGCTGGGCTGGAGGCAGGGCTAAGAACTCTCCCCATTGTCTGCAGATGTATTCATCCACTTGTTATTCATTCATTAGGTCAGCACTTTTTAAAAATAATTTATTTAACTTTATGTATTCATTCATTTATTTTTAACTTGACCAGAGAGACACAGACAGACAGAGAAGGTGAGAAAGCAAGCTACCAGGTCCAGGACTTGAACTGTGATTAGCCATGTGGGAATATCCAGCACCTTAACCACCACACCACCTGCTGGCCCTAGGTCAGCACATTTTAAAAATGATTTATTTTATTTATTTTTATTATTTTTAGAATTATTAAATTAAATTAAATTAATTAATTAATTAAAAATTAATTTAAAATTTGACCACAGTGGGACAGAGAGAGAGAGAGAGAGAGAAAGTGAGAAAGCAAGCCACCAGG